ACTGGCCGCCGATGAGGGCCATCAGCAACCATATCGACGCAAACAGCGCCTGCAAACAAAGCGAGAGCCAACACAACACACCACCAGACAACAGAATGTCTGTCTGCAGCTCTCCACGTACGTATCTCTCTGTGTGTCTCTCTTGGCTCACCAGCCCGAAGAAGTAGAGGCCGGGGTGCTGCACGCCTGACATGTCTGCCGTTCGTCCGAGTCAGCGGCTCACGCGAAGACAGCTGTGATGAGAAGGGAGGGACTCAGCAGCACAGCAGCAGGCTCTCTCGCTGACAAAGGGTATCGATCTCTGGCTGACACAAGCAGGCTTCGGGAGAACGGGCTGCAGATGGACTGAAGCTGCTGTGCTGTGTGGTGGATGGCGGCTGCTGTGGTGCGCTGTGTGGCGGGGGGTCACGACAGCCGTGCCGCTCCGCTCTGTCTTCTCACTCTCTGTTTTGTCTTCGCGAGGAGAGATGCGCGAGCTGCAACGTTTCACGGCGGCGCGAGGGCACGCTCTTTTGCGAAGGTGGCCGCGGCTCTTGTGCTTCGGTCGTCGGTCGGCTGCCTTCTGTTGGGCTCACAGATCAGTGCTTTCCGGCTCGTTTTGCTGCGAGCTAAGAAAAATCGCTTGACCGTTGGCACAGCGTACGAGAGGCACACCGAAGCAGAGGTCTGCACTCTCTCGGTTGGATGGTCTGATGCGGGGGGCCCGGCGATGTGCGACCCCTACCCCCCGCAATGCTCAAGAGGACCAGACGACGGAAGCAACACTCCGGCATCCTCCTCCTCTTCCTCCACGCCATCATGGCCTCACTCGTCCTCACCAGCGCGTCCTTCCTGCAGGACCAGCGCACCAGACGCGATGACAAAAGGCACCAGCACCAACAGCAGAAGCAGAAGCAGAAGCAGCAACCACAGGAGAAGAACCCCGCCCGGCAGCGGCTCAGGGACATACGGTCGTCGGCAGCGCACTGGCTGCACAAGAAGGGGGCGCCGAAGCGTCTGCCGCCACTGGCATGGTGCTCCGACAGGCGGATGACGGCGGCGGTGCCCGTGGGGTATGATCCAGCGCAGATCGGCAAGCGGAGGGGCGGGTTCGCCAACTCGCCCACCATCAACGATGAGATCGTGAGCTGGAATGACACCGAGTGGCGGCCTGACGGGAAGGGCAACGGCACTGAGGACTGCCGGGCGGTGTATGCCTTCAACTTTTTCGGTCTCAAGGCCGACGCGCTGATGGCGTCGGCGGGGTACGATGAGTGCGGCACCACCGTGACGCGCACGGCCCTCTACACCTACTACACCAACGTGCTGCGCCTCAACGGGCCCAACAACAATGTCATCGTCACGTGCGCATGCCCTGTCGACCTTCCCACAAACACCTCGCTCGACGACCCAGTGCCCAGTTGTCAGTCGACGGCCAAGTGGGAGCATGAGTCGACATCCAGACGCGCCTTTCATGGCCGCAACGTCACGAACCCGATGGTGGGTGCGGTGGGGCGGGGCCACCTGCTGTCGAGCGAGTGGATGGTGGGAGAGAACATGACCATGGCCGTGCAAAAACGAGACGAGTGAGTCAGTCAGGAAGGGGGGAGAGGGTATTGGCATGGTATCCATGTTGTGAATGTGTGTGTTTGTGTTGTGTGTCAGGGAGCTGGTTTTCGAGTCGGTGATCGAGGGAGAGGCAGCCCATCCGTGGCCGATGGTGTGTGTGGCCCTCTGCAACGACACCAGTGGCCCAGCCGACCGGTCCAGTGACCGCTGCTCCCGCACCCTAATGCTTGAGGGCTGCCCCGTCGACGCCGACAATCGCTACAACTTCACGGTCCTCAACCAGACCGCCCACCGCATCGTCTTCTCCTTCTCCCGTGACGCCCTCCCCTCCCCCGCCCCCCCGTATAGCGACGCCGTCAGCGTCCGCTGCATGATGGCCGCCTTCCCCCAGCCCCCCTCCAGCAAGGCCATGTGCGAGCTGCAGAAGACATACGCAGCCAAGAGGCGACGAAGGAAGCTTCAAGAGGACGATCCGGCAACAACAACAACAACAACAACGGCAGCGACAGAGGAGAGGAAGGAAGAGTTCCTTGCCAACGGGACCAGGAAATGGGACGACCTCGCTGCAGATGCGGAGGGCACGGTGGAGGGTCACGTGTTGAACCCCCTCAACTTCCCTCTCACCGGGCTGCTGGGTGTGCCTGGTGCCCAGTTCCCCCGCTTCACGCCCTCGGCCGATCGGGTGGCCGTGGAGGTGGCCAACGAGATCGTCTACGACAACTGGCAGGTCAACTGGGGACGCGACTTCGCCGAGGCGGAGACGGCCGTCCAAGTGGGCAATGACCTGGCCTTCGTGGGCATCGGTATCGGGGTCGACCAGCGGGAGAGTGCCGTCAACGTGGGCTACGGCAAGACCACCGTGTCGTATTCGGCGCAAGAGACCGACCTCGAGGCAGGTGTCGGCGTGGCAATCGGGTCATACGGTGTGCGTGTCGATAACGACATCGACGATCGGGCCGTGGCCGTCGAGGCGGTCGCCAGAGGCGTCGAATCGGGGACCAACGTCGACATACTCGATCGGTACATAGCTGACACGCATACATCGAAGACAGACAGACTTAAGCGTGAGTGGCTTGTGGCTTCGTGTTGCAGGGATTACGGTCAGCGCGTCAAGGTCCGCAACTTCGAGTTTGCGGCGCGTCACGACTTCTTCGACGTGCAAGACCCCAGCACCTTCGACGACGACGAGCTGGCGACGGAGGTGTTCGTGGGCTACAAGACCACTGCCGTGGCCGTCGGCACCGACGTCGACGACACCGAATACGGCGTCAGTGTGGGCACACTTGGGTACCAATTCTCAATCATTCGCGACTTCGACGAGCGGGAAACGGACTTCCAAGGTCAGCTAAGCGAACGGACGACAGGTTCCTGCCTCCACTCGGCGACTGTGGGCTCTGGTTCTCTATCTATCTGTAGGCAACTGGGGCGATGGCTACCAGCTTGTCTTGAATGGTTGGAAGGGCCGATGGCCGTGATAGATACCGCCTGAACTTGTCGTGAGTGTGCATTAATTATGTCTGTCTGTGGCGGTTCCTGCAGGTGACTTCCCCGACTTCGCCGACACTGAGGTGTTCGGTCAGGTGGGGTTCGGCAAGCTGGGTGGCGTGTACGTGCAGATCGGTGCGGGTGTGGGTGGGGACGGCATTCCACAGGGGTCGGCAGAAGTCGAGACCAGGGACATCGGCATTGGATTCGACTTCATCGATGACGGGGGCAGGCGCCTCTTTCTGCTATCAATCACCATCGGTGGGTGAGACAGACAGAAATGGATTGGGGAGCACTGGATGAGTGTGGCTTTGTCTTCTGTATGTGTGGTTGATTGGTGCAGGCAAGTTCACGTATGTGTGGGAAAGGTAAGGACAGACAAGCCACGTGGATTCGCTCGCTGGCCGACGCTCACTGTCCTGCTGTTTCCTTGTCCTTCTTCCCCCCGTGTATGTGTCCGCGCGATCTTAGCATCGTTGTGCCAGGTAACGCTGCACGTGAGCCATGTCGAGCGTACAAGCGTCCTTATGTCTCTCTCTCTCCCTCTCTGCCTGTGTGTGTATGTGCAGACAATCTGGAGCTCCCCCTTATACTGGGTTCGGATTTGGGCCTTACCTCCGCCGAGTCGCAGAGCACCACTTTGTCACGCCCCCAATGATGGATGGATGGATGGATGGATGGGCGGGTGGGTGAGTGGCGTATTCGACACATCTATATGGTAGAGAGATGTACGTCCATTATATACATCCGTCAACACGGGCAGGGGGACAGGCAGTGGGGCAGAAGAGCTGGTCGGTCGGGTCTTCTCTTCACACATACACACACGGGATGGAGGCGAGGCGCTCCGATGGTTTGTTTTTTTTCGTGCCTATCTCCTCCCTCCCTCCGTTCTGTCTACCGCCTCTCCAGCCACATCTGTCTGTTTTTGGTTCTCGGTCGGTCCAGGCATCGATTGATCGATCTATCGAGGCACCTACCTTTCAATCAATGCTGTATGTGTGTGTGTATGTGTGTACAGACTTGTTGTCTTTGATTTGTTCCCGCTTCGCTGATCAGCGGTGACTAGTCTGTCTGTCTGTCTGTCTCCTTGCGTATTCGTATCGATACGTCAAGTCAGTCCAGCTGGGGATGAGGACGACATCATGATCCACACACGGGGTGTACATACATACGGACGCACGCACACACACATACATACATACTTGAATCGACGAGTATACTGGAGGCCGGACGTCCGTGCATGGGCATACCGGGGGGCGGGGCGTGTGCGCCGTGTATGGTGTCTGTCTGCGGTGTGTGCGGCGCATGCCGCTAGTCGAATGAGTGAAGGTCATCCTAGGGTGGGGTGTGCGTGGATGATCATATGCGATCGATGCGGCGGAGTCGAGTCGAGCCGAGTCGACCAGCAGTAATTCGGTGGGCACTGATTTGTTGTTGTGACGGGAGCTGGGACGGGACAATCATGCATGTGTTCTGTCTTAATTGCCGTGCGGAAAGCGAGCGTGGCATTCCATTCCCTTCATGTGTGTGCATCGAAGACCGTGATTCATTCATGTCTGCATGCCATCTCATGTCAAGAAGGCTTGCTTCGCACAAACATTCTCGGACCTGCCTGGACCTGCGTGTTCGTGTGTGAGTGCGTGTTGGGGCCGGTTGACGATGAGGGCAACGCGCTGCTGGGGGGCGCCCAGCAATTTACGGCAGACTGGCTCGAGATATTCCACGTCATCGACACACACAGCTGGCTGGCTGACATCGTGTGTGTGTGTCGATGACGTGTTGCTAATGCTCATCAGAACAGTCGATTAGCAGGAGTGACACGACCTCCACAGGACAGGAGTGTACGTGACGTAATGAGCAACCTTGTTTCGATGGACCGCCCCGAGGGGACACCACCGTTGGACGACTCGACTCAATGTGTCAACCCACAAACTGTGAATATATCTTTCTGTACGTATGGATGTATGTGCGCTGTCGTTGCCACGGACTAGTTGATTGACATGGATGGAAAGAGGGACACCCACAGAGTGCATTCAATGAATTGACGTCTCCGTTGCACCAACACGAAACGTCTGATTGGTTGACAATAATTTGACAGCAGGACGAGTGCAAAGCTTACAAAGCGGGAGTGAGAGTGCAATCTGCTTCCCTTGTGTGTTTCGTCCTCCAGCCGGTAGTCGTTCATCACCTCAGTCAGGGCGGACAGTATCCCAGGCTGCTTCTGGAGGTCAGCCATGTCCGCATGAATTTTCTGAATCCTCTGGCTGGCGATGCGGGACGCGTAATAGAGAGCGTCTTCATCCGGCGGAATCATATCACTATCGACATCGGCATCATGATCCATCTCGTCCCAACCCGGACTTGCCACACACTCTAAATCAGCCATGTCGGTGGAAGCCATCATTTGAATGTCTAAGCTCGCGAGAACGCGATCCAGGCATTTACAGGCCATTTGGAGGAAAAAATTGAGCCCGTCAGCCTGAAGTGATTGCCTGATTGACCTTTGTCCTGCGCACGGCTCACAGAGCGACTTGATTCATCCAGAATCGGACACGCAGCCAGGAGCGATGGACAGCAGCAGCGCTGACGGCCGCCTCAAGCAGATCGAGAATTTGCTGGTGCGGATCATGGCGTCGTACCACAGCATGGAGATCACCCTCAATGCAGTCCTGGCCCGCAACAGACAGCTGGAGGCCGAGAATGCTGCATTGAAGCGGTGAGGCAAATCAGCGGAGTGAGTCATTGATTGATTCAATCTCATGCAGGCGAGTGAGAGACACCACGACGACATTCGACAGTGACGGACAGCCCGTCAACAAGTCTGCTAAGGTGCGCTGCCTCATCACACACAGACAAAGAGGCCGGCAGAAGACACCATCTGCGTGTTTTGATCAACAGATGAGTGTCTGAGTCAGAGTAGGAGCGGAGAGGAGGAGTGAAGAGGTCGAGGTGTACAGAGGAGTGAGTGAGTGAGTGACTCTGACTGAATGTGTGATCCACGGCCGTGTGGACTTCTGCGGACGGGTGGGGTGACTGGCTGAGTGATTGAGTGCGTGAGTGGAATGCGCAGAGGATGGTCGTCCAGACAAACGAGCTGATTGACTGACTGAGTGAGCGAGGAGATGATCCGCGAAGAACTGACAGAGCCTGTCTCTCTCAACCAATCATGCATGATGTCGTGATCATCATGAAGACAACACTGACAATTGTCAGGGCAACAAGGCAAAGCTCGTCAGACTCTCGAACGCGCCGTGTTCACTCGTTTTGCTTTTTGCGCCCTTGGTACCAGAAGAAGATCAAAGCAATCAGGTTGAACCTACACAAAGCCAGAGAGACCCGCATCACATACACATGCACTCTCTCTCTCTCTTTGTATGCACTCACCCGACGACCATCGCAGCCAGGACGGGCACGTCCCGCTCCCACAGGTCATCCTTGCGCACCGCCAGGAACTTGAGCACGTCATTGCCGTCACGGAAGCGACAGTCGGTACCACCGCATTCGATTGCCTGGTTCTCGGGGAACGTCCAAACCACCTGACACACGAGAGCAGAGCAGAGCAGTGTGGGTGGGTGGGTGGGTGTCTCTTCCTGTGATACTGTTGTTATGGGTGGGGACCGTTGCGAAGGCTGAGAAGCCGTATTTGAAGAAACTCAGGTACTCCAGCCACACCCAGCCGGGGCCAATGGTGTCTGCGTGGACAGACAGGCACGAGAAAGGGAGACATGATAATTTACTGGGTGGTGTCTTTGCCTGTGTTGACGAAGAAGCCCCCAAAAAGCATGAGAGGCATGGCGATCAGGGGGCCGAGCGCCAGCGCAACCGCCACCTGGAGGATTACGCGTGATCGATACACAACTGGCTAAGCTGTTTGTGGGCGTGCGCTTGCCGAGGTGCAGGCTGTTGAGACAAGGCTGAAGACACGCATGAAGGCAAGTCTCGCTGTTGTCTTCTGTGCGTGCCTGGCTCTTACTATCCGAGCGAGATGGCGGCATTGGCGGTGAGAATGATGATGAGCACCGAGAGGATGAACGTGACGCCATCTGCAGGAGATCGCAGACCACATCAACAACAGCATCATTCAGACGTCCCGGTTGGCGAGCGGCAAGGACGCCAAGCGGTGCGAGGCGCACTACACCGCCAGATACCGGGATTCAAGCCCATCATCCAGTAGGAGATCCTACACACCCAAAGAGAAATGGAGGCCAGTCTAAGGCGCAAAGCGGGCCGGATAGCTGTGCACTCACGAGCAGAATAGGGCAGGAAAGATGATCTACAGACGACAGAAAAGGTGATCTCAGCTTTTTCAGTAGACGTATCCGCTGTCCCACTGACTTGGAATGGGATGTTGCTCAGGATTTTGCAGAGGAAATAGGCAGTGGTACTGTACGACCCTGACTCGTGCTCGCGCATGGCGATAGGTCTTTCCATTGGGAACACTTGCAACACACCGAAGATGCCCATGATGCTCTGGAGAGCGAGACATGACGTACCATCTTCCGGGATGCTACTGCAGGGACATGGACACCTGCTGACCTGGTTGGTGACTATGAAGAAAATCCCTCCATTCTTGTCCTGCACACTGCGTTGCCCGTCGCCGAGCCTGAACAGAGACCGATGGATAGAGGAAGCGGAACTGACACTGCCTGATGAACTACGCGCGTACTGATAGAAGATGAGGCCCACAAGGAGGCCGAGGATGAGTGTCTGACCAAGGCGGGCCACCGTGAGCACGGGGTCGCGAGAGGTCATCTTCATTTCACGATTCAACAACACCATAAACTGCATGGGCCTGGATGAGGCAAGCAACAGGCGGAGACAGACCGAGGACAGCTGAGTTGTTGCTGCCTGATCGATTGACTGCATGGGGCTGACCAGCTGACGGCAAAGTGGCCTTTGATGTTGATGGCGGCGTTGTCAGTGGCTGGGTCACTGGTAAAGTCGCAAAAAAAAAGGGTGCAGAGCGCGGAAATGTTCGCTTGCACAATCGGCGCCGCCGAAAGCTGCTCACCCCTGCTCGCAAGCGAAATCCTCTTCGTCCTTCACGTGGGTCTTCACCTGGCCGAACGCGCACAAACACACACATCGAACGCACATTTGGAGGCTCAGTGGCTCACTTCATCCATGTGTCACCCATTCTGCATTGAAGGTCTCTCCCTTTTCCTTCCACTGTTTCGCCATGTTGTCAATTTCCGCCATTTTGACTGTGTCATCGGATCTCACAGCCAAAACTGAGAAAGAGACAGCATTGGTTCGTTTGCATTGGTGTGCCTGTGTGTCTCTGTCCTGATGGTTTCTGTACCACGAATGATGTAGTCAGCGGGGTTCGAAAACTGCACGCACCCCAAATCAAGCACGTAGAAGGAGAGATGGTGCCTTTCCTTACCTGTGGGCACTGGTACCCCAGTCTGCAAAATGGAAACCAGAAACAGCCTGCACTCGCTCTCTCTCGCCTTTTCCTGGCTCCATGTCTATCTTGCCTCACCGCGAGAAGTACGTAACAGCGCCCTCGAGTTCGCCATAGTAGACTATTTTGCCCTCCGCCATGTACATGACCTTGTCGAACATGGCGTAGATCTCAGAACTCGGCTGATGAATCGTTGCAATCACCGTGCGACCTGAAGGTGGAAAGAAATGAATGCCTAGCCCACACTCAATGATCGGGATTGGATGCGTGAAAACGCACCTGCACGGGCGAGATACTTCATTGTCTCGACAACCGACTGAGCCATAAAGGCGTCAAGTCCACTGGTCGGCTGCAGAGACACATCCGATGTGCAAACACACGCGTCTTCGGCAGACAATCACGCTCGACGCAACGAATACGCTCAACGCAACAAGTTACCTCGTCAGCGAACAGGACGGAGGGGTTCGTGAGCACCTCTGTGCCGAACGCCAGACGCTTACGCTCTCCGCCACTGATGCCTCTGCAAGTTGCAAGGAGAGGCAGTCAGAAGACTGTGCTCTTCTTCACCCAGTGAGTGATGTGTCACAAGCACAAACCGTCCGTGTCCGGCCTGCACGTTTCCAATGAAGTGGTGCTGCGCCTTGGCCAAGTTGAGCAGCGCGATTACTTTGTCGACCTTTTGTTCTTTTTTGTCCAACGGGATGTGAGAAGGCAGCCGGAGGCGGGCCTGGTACATCAACTGCTCGCGAACTGTGAGATTCCCAAAGAACATATCCTCCTGCATCGATTCATAAAATGCAGCCGTCATGAGATGTGCAATGGAATCGTCGGACGCTTCGCTTGCCTGCTGCACGAAGGCGCTGATGCGGGTGAAGTGTTCGTCACACTGCCGACCGTTGTACGTGACTTCGCCTCCGTGTGACGTGATGCGACGAGACAAGACTGCATATACACAAAGATATACAAAAAAGTAGTGGCGGCTATCAAAAGACTTCTCTTCTTACCATTGAGAAGGGTGGACTTTCCTGCACCGCTGTATGTATGTAAGAGACACAAGCGACAAATCCAGATGCTTCAGATGCATCAAAGTCGTGTCTCACCTCGCACCCATGACCGCAACTGCATACCAAGAAGGCACACCCAGTGCATGCTCTTTTCTATTATTGGCTTGATATGTGGCCCGACAGCTCACGCACCGAGTGTGCCTGGCTCGATGGCGCCTGATACTTCATGCAGGATGCGCTTCTTGGGGATGGTCTTCTTCTCCCGGTGATCCTTGATCATCTGGGCAATCTTCACACAAGGCAGGCCCTTCTTCGGCTCAGCCTTGGGAGTGACCTCCACTGACACGGCAAGACAACACTCACTTGTGCATGTTCTCCCATTGTTTTGTCTCACCGACGATGTTCTTGAACTCCAGGCGGATCCCCTCACATTCCGGGAGGCTCAACTTGCGCTGCTTGCAAGGGGATCCCTCAGCCCCAGCCTCACCCACGTCCACCGCCACCTCACCGTCCTGCTTGTCGTCGGAGACCTCATGCACCTCCTGGTTCTGGTGATCATCCATCGTGAATAAGCTGCAAACAAACAGGGGGTATCAACACATCAGCCTGTTCATTGGACGTGTTCTTTGTGCATTGAAATCACACCAAAATCAGGCGGAATACCGGGGGGTGTTCAAGCCGTGCTTTCTTGTCAATGTGGCCCCCACACGGAGCCCTTGTATCAGCCGCTCTCTGCTGCACACAAGCACTTAAAACACACAGCGCTCAACGGGAGCGATCCGATTCGGTTTGAGCTCGCAAAATTGCGAGCTGTTCATTTTGTGAAGGCGATGGCTGCTAAAAACTATGAGGATCTCTTGCAGCAGAGTAAGCTGAGGCCAATGCATATATGTCAAAAAATGAGCCGCGCGGCCATGCATTCACTTGGCTTCATGGCATTGCATCATTTGTCAGTTCAAACGTATGAAAGGGACCTGACGGCCACGGTCAAGGCAGCGGAACGCTTCCGGGAGGACAACCGGGCTCTCAAAGACGTAATCGCCAGAAATCCACCGCATAGCAGCCGTCGATTGATGCTGCGCGTGATCCTTCATGTCAGACGTGCGAGTCACTGCAGAGGGCCCAGGGAGAGCTCAAGGGCATCAACGCCGAGGCCAAAAGGCAACTCAAGAACGTAAGCAGCCAGCACAAGTGGCACATGCACATGGACTATATGTGTGTGTGCTTGCCTGCAGTATGTTGCCAAGCTCTCGGACTATCAGCAGCGCCACGACGCAGAGCGGGCGGCGCTCCAGGGCGAAATAGAGGCGCAGGCAGAGGTGAGTGAAATCAATGACACAGCTACCCTTTCAGGGAGGCGAGGCGTCCAGCAGATGTGTCTGGTCTGAATCTGTGTCTGCCTAGGAGATAGATGCCCTGCATCGCCAGCTGCTGGAGCGACAGAACTTCGTAGGCGTTGACACATGGAACGAGCCGCTGAAATGTGCGAATGTAATGTGTGGCTGTCTGTATGCAGGATGAGCAGCATCGCCTGTCGTTGCAGAACGAGGTAGAGGGGCCGTTCATTGAGGTACATGCAGATGCATCCATACATGCATTCAGGCCGAAACTTCACCTTGCGCATCGTCTCTTCCCTTTTCAGCGTATTTGCAGGCTAGAGTCCGCTCTTGACAAGGAGCGCCGCACATCCAGCGATCTCCAACGCACAAATCAGGTGAGCGAACTACACAACAGACAAGAACTCTCCTTTGTCTTGCCAACGTGTGCGTGCTTGGGTGCAGTCTCTCCGCTTCACGCACGAGAGCGAGAAGGCTGACCTGCAGGCGCAGCTGAGGGACCTGCGGGCCAAGAGCGAGCACCAGAGGACGGAACTGCTCGCCGAAGTAGACGAACTCAAGGCGCAGCTCAGGGCGAAGGTAGCAACGGCACCACGGACAGAGATGGATGTCGTGCACATTCCTTTGTCTCTCCCTCGGTCTGCATCAGGAAGATCTGGAGAGCTCCAACGCCAAGCTGAAGAAGGACGCAGAGGAGGCGCGGTGAGATGAAGAGCAGGGGTATGCACACCTTCTCTTGTCTTCCCCCCGCAGCATTAAAGCTACTCAGCTCAAGAAGGAAGTAGAGGAGCTCGAAAGCCAATGCGTAGGAGACCCATTCATACACACATTCCTTTCCTCACTGTCTGTCTCTCTTTACAACAACGCAACAGACTAGAGTTGTCCGTCAGAAGAGCACTGAGATCGACTCGCTCAAAAGCGAAATGGTGCAGCATCAGGCCGAGGCCTCCAAATGGAGGTAAGCATAGGCACGTCACATGCAAACGGCTCAGTGTGACACCTACGTGTGTTGCGTCGCTTGCAGGAGCGAGGCGGAGAAGAGGGACCGCACGCTCTCCAAACTCACTGCAGAGTGAGGAGAAAAAGAACAATATAATGCAATTTGCGTACGGATGCTTTGCATTGTCCTGTGCTCCATACCTGTCGATCGATCCAACAGATTGGCAGCTGTAGCCGAGGAGCGGAATCACCTGGCGCAGGAATTCGACCGACACAAAAGCGTAAAAGAAATCGGCAAAAGATGTACGTTCATGGATCCGTGAGCTGCGAGTCTTGTGTGTGTGTGTGTGTGTGTGTGTGCAGAGTTGGTCAGAGCGGTTGCGTGACGTGGAGAACAAGTGGATCAAGGAGACACACGACGTGCGCCAGCGCCTCGAGGAAGAGCAACGAAGATGTATAGACGTAAGAACCACACCAAGCCACTACACCGATCTTCAGTATGGACATACTGCAGCTGACTGAGGCCCAGCAGCGGGCGCAGGAGTCGTTCGAGGGCCGGCTGTCTGAGAAGAAGGCCGCTCACCGAGCCCTCAAGCGGCAGCTCGATCAGCACCAGAGCGAAGGCGACATGGATGTCCAGCAGATGAAGGATGGATACGAATCCAAGGTGGGTCGACCATCACACACGAAGGGAGGGGGAGGGGGAGTGCAGATGTGTGTATTCCTTGCCTTGCTGTCTGCTCATGCAGCTGCACGAGTTGGAGATGGAGAGGGATGCGCTGCGTGACGAAGCTGAGAATGCCCGCAACACACAGAAGAAGCTGCAGAGCGAGGCCAACACACAGGTGAACCGCGATACGCTTATTCAGACACCAGCCACACATCAACCGGCGACCATTGTCAGTTGGAGAGTTTGTCTGAGGAGTTGGAGAAGGCCCAGGAGGAGAACCTCACACTCACCGCTAAATGCGACAAGGCCAGCAACCAGGTGGCCTATACAGCGCGAGACATCCTTCGTATCAATTATCTGTGTCGCGTTGTTTCCAGCTTCGTGTGACGGAGTGCTCCTATGAGAAGCGCCTGATCGAACACGAAACGCTTAAAAAAGACTATCAAAGCCTCCAGGCAAGCCACCAGAGACACTCACTCATGCTTGTTGTACGAAAGGCCCCGTATAGCGATTTATCCTTTTCGCTTCCTGCAGGGTCGCCATCGCGAGTTGATGGGTCGTGTTGAGGGCCTTCAGAAGACCGACGCGACCAACCATGACCTGATCGCAAAACTCAAGAGCGAACTGGTGGGCATGCAGGCTCGGACGCAGCCCCGTCACCCAGAGATCGTTCTACATGTATGGAACAGGCCTCGACGTCCATCCGTTTGGATCGTGAGCGCCGCGACAACCAGGAGGAACTCAACAGGGTGCAGCATGTGAGCTGAGACACGCTTACACAAAGCTTCACACCCGCATTTTTGCTGTGCGTGTCATTTGCGCGCGTGCAGTCGAAGCAGCAGGAGAGTGAGAAGCTGAGACACGAGCTGGAGAGCATGGCCAAGTGAGTGAGCATTTGGGACCAAATGCCAGGAATCCGATTGCTGTCTCTGTCTGTGTGAACTTCCCAGGTTGTGTGATAGTCAGTCTGCCGAGTTTGCGCGCCTCAAGACGGCGTCCAAGCAGCTCTTCACCAAAGCCAAGAAGAGAACAAGAGACCTCAAGACCAAGGCACAGGTAGCCGCACACGGAGAAACATCTCGTACGAGAGCGTCAACCACCCATGGCTTTGCTTCCCCGCTCTGCTCAGTTGCTGGCCCAGCGTGTGCAGCAGATCCAGTCTGAGAAGCAGGTCTTGTGGCAGAACTTCCAGGCCACACGGGTCCGCCATGCAAAGAACCAGAAGCTGAGTGCTTTCTCGTCTACCCTTGGAGTATTGTCTTGTCTTGCCCTCGATGCAGGAGGGGTATGAGATTCGCATTCGTGACCTGGAGTGTTCCCGCAAGTGTGAGCTAGACTCCCTCGTCGGCTTGGCCGTGCCCCTCCATGCCAACTCAAAAATGATCCAGGTGTGCATATGCCTTGCCTTGCAAGTGCGCGCCACACACACTTGCAATCCCTCTCTCTGCCCTTGTCTGTCTCGCCTTGCCTGTCGTCCCTCAGGACATGCTATCGAGTGCGTCTGCCTACCGCCGGCAGATCGACCAGCTGCGCGAGAACCTCTCCATCCAAGCGGCCACCTACCTGCCGCCAGGCGATGACCGAGACAGGGACGCCAAGGCGCAGGCCAATGGCCACGTGTCTGGTGTGTCGGATGTGATGTCGAGCCTGCCCTTCGAGGGCTTGAAGCTCAAGGAGCAGGTGGCGGCCGCCGCATCCATGACCAATAGCGGAGGGCAGACATCGGAGCTGGCACTCGTCAAGACGGCGGGCAATGGCAATGGCGGGAGAGGCGCTGGCGGAGGGGGCGAGGGGGGCAGCTCACGACAGTGAGGCAGGGATGATCTTGTGGCAGGGACTCGATCCGATATTGCATGATAGAGGGGACGCGATGGACCTTGATTGATGGAGTGGACACAGAGTATCTATCGTCTGAATGATTGATCAAGATCTGCAGGCATTTGTTTGTGTCTTTCCCAGGCAGGCACTCTGCTGTATATATGTATGTGCTGGCTCCTTCCTTATCTTTTCGATAATGGTGGCTGTCGATTGGCTTGTGAGTATGGTGGGCGGGCTGCGCTCGTGTACGTACCAACTAGGTAGGGCATCACATCCACCGCCGGCCAGGCCATGGAGGACACAAAGCACCCATCCAACCCACGCACTCGCTGCACTGCACTGCACTGCACGGAAAAAGTAACCGCAGCCATCGCACGCACGGCAAACGGCAATCAGCCAGGCAGTCGTGGATGGACACACACACAGCCATAGCCTACTATCTCAGCCAGACCACTGCACAGCACGCCGAGTCTCCATGCATTCATTTTGGGTTGGTTGTCTTGGATGGTTTTGTGCTTGGTTGGTTGGTTGGTGTGGTTAGACGAGCCCTGGAGTATAACAGCGAACAGCAATCAGGTCAGACGTGGTAGGGTGAAAGAGATGGAATGTAGAAAGAGCTGACCGAGTATTTCCATGCCGGCTTTGCTGAGCTTGAACTCTCCGCTCTGTGTGTAGCCCTTGGGGCCGGCGGTCTCAATCACCTTGCGGCTGCTTGACAACAGACGGCTGGTCGACATCAGAGGACCGCCTGACACACAACACGCAGACAGACAGACACTCTCAGTCTCCCTTTCCCCCTCAGTCCCTCCCTCCCTCCCTCCCTGTCTGTCTGACCTGTGGAGGTGAGTGGCTCCCCCCCGGCACCAAACGCGCGTGACTGGACATCTGGGGGCAGCTCTCCCTTCTTGGTGGACGGACCGCAGCAGGGCGAGCACGTCGAACCGGCACAACTCTTCTTCGACTTCTTCTTCAGATCCTGCACATACATCCACAGACAGAGACACGCACACACACTCCCTCCCTCCCTCCCTGCGCGTGTGAGTGCGTGTGTTGCGTTGCCCCGCTGTCCGGTGGACTAACCGGCTGCTCAGGCTGGTAGAGGGTCGGGTCCATGGGTGGAGGAGGAGGCAACTCCCCTCCCTGCACAGTGAGGCCGGGAGCGGGGCCACCGTACACGGGGGGATGCTGCTGCTCCTGTCCCTGCTGCTGCTGCTCGACAGTCTGCTCAACCTGCTCCTGGGGAACCTCGGACGCTGAGCAGACCGGGTCACAACCACACAAACAACACACACGTGCCCAACACACGACATCGAAAAGTGTGGTGGTGAGCTGCGTGTGGGGGCGCTCAAGGAGGAGCGCTTGACGGTCCGTTGCAGGCAGGCACCAAGGGCAGACGTGCTGGGGGTGTCTTACCCATCGTATAGGACAGATGAAGAGAGAGGGAGTCGCTGGGAAACCACTAAGAAGAATGGCTGGCGGGGCCCGACGCCGACACTCAAACACGAAACCTCAAGGACGGAACCAGACGAAAGACGCACTGCTGCTGCAGAGGATGCCTCACACCACTTCTTGGGGCAGGCACCAAAAGACTGCGAGCTCTGCATGCAGCCCCCATGCGAGCTTAAAAACTCTGCACATCTATCTCCAACGCGCCACCATGTAATTCGTGAGCGGATGCCTTCTCTTTCCTTTCTTCCAGTGCGCAGTGTGTGGAAGTCTCTGGTTGCGGCGCTCTTCGGCATGGCGGTGATCACCTTGGCTGAGGATGCCGGTCCAGCGGAGGGAAAAGAGCGACAGCAGCCTGTCGAGAAGGAGCAGCCAGCACCGCTACCGGCGTTTCGAGCGGCAAACGTGGACTTCAACCTAATCGACTCCACCTTCCAAGAGTGCAGGGCAACCGGGGTGAGCAGACCGAGACGAGATCAGGAAGCAAAGCACACGCCGGTTGATTGATGGCATCTATCTCTGTGTTCCATTTTCGCAGGAGTGCATACCGTGCGGTGACATGGAGGGAGAGATGGCTTACTGTAAGCCACGGCAGGCAGACGACTGCACAGTGTGTGTGTGTGTGTTGCTGCGTTATTGTTGCGTGTGGCTCTCGGCTCTCTCTGTTGGTCAGGCAAGGGCAAAGAGGATGAGATGAAGCAGAAGCAGCCTGTCGAGTGCTCGGTGGCCGAGGGCGACAAGGACCCGCCGCTTCTCACCTTGAGACACTTCTACCGCTCATGCACCCCGGCACAAGGTGCGCATACCATCCATCCCCCCTCTCCCCCGTGTGCCTTGGAACTGAGCTCATGTGTTGGCCTGTCCTGCTGCTGCCCATCATCAGATCCCCAGGAGGTGACGCGCCTCAATCCAGTCGGTCCTCTCACCCTGCGTGACGGCCGGCCTGCAGAGGAGAAAGCCAAGACGAAGGAGAAGCCGAAAGCCGCCAAAGCTGACTCAAAACCAGAGAACAAGGCACCCCCTGCCGACACCGGCAGCATGGTCGGCGTCCCCGTACCAGAAGAGCAGCAGCCGCCTGTCCAACAAGAGGTGCCAGCGCCTGAGCCAGCCGAGCCAGAGAGCCCAGCCAAGGAAGGGTCGAACGGCCAACCGCCCGCGGCCCCCAGACCAGAGGCCAAACCTGAGCTGCGCGGCCGGGCGGGTGGGAAGGGCAAGAAGGAGAAGGAGAAGGCGGCTGATGAGCGGGGCAAGAGCTTCGAGGTGCAGCCAGAGGAGGTGGATGAGCTGCCGACGGTGGTCGGGTTCGAGTTGGCCATGCTGGCCGCCATCCTGTTCTCGCACCGGTGCATACGGCTGCAGAAGAAGAAACAGGACCGCGTCAGGTGAGGGGAACGGACGGCTGCGGACAACGAAGCCGAGCACTGCACTGACGGGGATGGCGCTGCGCTTCTGTGGTTTGCTGTCCTGTATGTGTCAGGTATCAGCGCTTGCAGAACATCATGTCGACCTAAGACACCTACCTGGTGATGATGCGATCATTTTGACAGAGATGCGACTGTCTGGCTGTCTGCCGAGGCTGAGTGATACGCTGACTCGAATTCATTCACCTGTGGTGTGGTGTATGTCTATCATGACAATTTGTCTGTATGTGGGTATCTTCTTTTTCGTGACGACGCGAACATACATGAGATCTGGCTGGCTACTTACGCGGACTGACTTGTCAATCAAACCTCTGCCCGTATGTGTGTACGTATGTACACCCTCACTGATAGGCCCAATTCGCAACATACACAACCTCGCCTTTGCGCTGCAATGGGGCTTCCGGGGTGAAACGCTTCGCATTTCCCCTTTTCTCGGGACACGGCGGGAGACGCTGCAGATCTTTGCCAAGGGATCTGTTTGACACCATCTTGCTGAGAGGCGCTTGGGCGGATCTGTTTGACCACGCATCAGCCGAAGGCTGCTGCTTTGCTGAAATCAGGCGTTGGGCGAGAGAACACCAGGCTGTTGGGCGAGGCAGGAGTAGACCATGAGGGAGAACGAAGGCAAGCGCAGTGACCACAAGAGAGGCCTGTGTGTTGTCTGCACAGGGGGTGGTTTCACCTTCTGATTGTCTGCTTCTCTCGTGGCTGTGGTGTGTTGCTTGTGTATGTTCAGCGAATGGCAACACAACACCCGTCCACTCCAACCAGAAGCACAAGGAGATAGCAGAGTTGACCAAGGCGAGTCTGCCGCCTCCCCAGCCGCTGCCGTCCAAGGGCAGCGATGAGGGCGGGGAGGAGATGGCCACACTCACCCTGCCAGACGGCCGCACACACAAGCTGCGGGTCCTCAAGCCGACCTGCGGGTGAGCAAGGCGGGCTGACAGGCAGAAAGGCACGGGTGGAGCATCAATCATGGGCCTTTTGTGTGTGTGTGTGTGTGTTTGGCAGGAATCAGACGTTCATTGACATAAGAGATTTGCTTTCCGCGACCAATGCTGCCACATTCGACCCAGGTGAGGTCACACACACACACACACACACACGCCTCTGCTCTGCCGCTGGATGGATGGGTGTGCTGTTGTGTTCGGTTGGTTGTCCCATCAGGTTACAGCTCGAGCGCTTCGTGTTGCTCTGCGATAACCTATATCGATGGCGACAAAGGCACCTGCCTGTACCGAGGGTAATAGGGTCACAGGGACACCCAAGACAGGCGGGCAGGCAGGCAGGCAGGTACCCGGCAACCACGATGTGTCGGTTTGTGTGTCTGTCTGTGTGTCTGTCTGTCTGTGTGTGTTTCCCATCCACTTCAGGTATCCGGTGCACGAGCTGGTGGAGAAGTCCCACTTCGAGGAGGTAGCCTACCTGCTCATGTACGCGCGCTCTGCACGAAGGAACCACACGCACGCTCGCATGATGGCGGGACGGACGGACGGACGGATTAAGTGTGCTGTGTGTGTGATTAGGTACGGGGAGGTGCCCGCAGAGAACGTCAGGCTCATGTTCGAGAAACAGGTCACCACCGAAACACACGACAAAGCGAGAGGCGCATCGACATTCTGTTGTGTGCTGGTTGTTGGTGCAGTTGAAGTCGGAGATGTTGGTGCACGAAAGGCTCAAAAACTTCTTCACCGAGTTCCTCACTGGTACACGGAGAAGGACGAGATACATTCACGTGGCCCGGTATAAACGTGCCGCTACTCCCATGCAGGTGCTCACCCCATGGCGATGCTCGCGACTGTCGTGGCCGCTCTGTCGTCCTTCTTCGTCGACCCCATGGACCTCAACGACGCCGAAGAGCGAGAACTCGTAAGCGATGAGGAGGAGGCAGGAGAAAACCCCTCTTTGATTCATTCTTATCTCTGTCGTCCGTCTGTGTGTGTTTGTCAGGCCATCATCCGTCTGATAGCCAAGATGCCGACCATTGTCGGCATGTGCTACAAGACAGCAGTGGGCGAGCCCTTCAACTACCCGCGGGTAACCTGCCCGCCGCCAAACAGACACACAGACACACACCGCAGTGGTTCTCGGCCTGTGTGTCAGATGCATATGTCGTTTGCCGAGAACCTGCTATACATGATGTTCGCGAGGCCCCTCGAGGAGTACACCGTCGACCCCCTCCATGCCAAGATCGTCGATGCGTTCCTCATTCTACACGCGGACCATGAGCAGAACGCATCGACGAGCACCGTCAGGACGGCAGGGTGAACAACACATGGAGCGAGGGCGGGGGGCGAGGAGGGAGGGATCACAATGCTCCCTGTGTGTCGGTCTGTGCTGTTGTGCAGGTCGAGTCGTGCGAACCCTTACGCGTGTGTTGCTGCGGGCATCACGGCGCTCTGGGGCCGTGCTCATGGCGGGGCCAACGAGGCCGTCATCAAGATGCTGAAGGAGATTGGCGATGGTGAGCGGGGAAGCGTCGATGCACATGCACAGCGCATTCGCATTCCATTAGCTCCCTCTGTATGTGTCCGTGTGCGTGTCTGTCTCAGTGTCAGGGGTGCCTGACTTCGTGCAGAAGGTCAAGGACAAGAAGGTGCGGCTGATGGGCTTCGGCCACCGCATCTACAAGGTAAAAGAGATGATTGGCGTGACCCACTGACATGATCGATGCCCTGCGGTCTCTGTGCGTGTCGTCAGAACTACGACCCCCGTGCCATTGCCATGCGAGGACTCTGTCGCCAGTGAGCTTCCCCCTGCACATCGGCACCTCCAAAGAATCACCCTGATGTGTCTGCCTTTGATGTATGCCCTTTGCTCAGATTGTTTGAGGCCGGCACACAGAGGGACCCGCTGTTTGACCTGGCCATGGCTCTGGAAGAGGTGAGCTGACACACGGAAACCCCACAGAAGGGCGTCATTGCATCGTGGCTCCTGCGTGGGTGTGTCTCTCTGTGTGTGCAGGTGGCGTTGTCCGACGACTACTTCGTCAAGCGCAAGCTCTACCCGAATGTACTGTACTCGTCTGTGTGCCCTCCCTATCTGCATGCAGCCACGGACTGAATTGCTATGGTTGTGGGTGTGTCGTGGTGATCAGGTCGACTTCTACTCGGGCATCGTGCTGCGGGCCATAGGCATACCACAGGAGATGTTTACCGTCATGTAAGCAGGCCCATGGATGAGGAAGCCTGCCTGCAGCAACGGGAGATGTGGTCGGTCGGTTGTGTCGTCTGCAGGTTTGCCCTCGGCAGGACCGTGGGCTGGCTGTCGCACTGGAAGGAGGTCGGCCACAGAGACACACACACACAAATGACACGGGCGACACATCCGTGTGTACGTTCAGATGATCCAGGAACAGCAAATGAAGATATGCCGCCCACGACAGCTCTACGTCGGACCAACGGTGAGTCTGTGTACTGAGGTATCCAATGCCCAAGGCCCACGAACGACCCTGTCTTTGGTTTGTTTGTGTTCCAGGAGCGTGCGTACATCAGCCCGGCAGAGATATCGGCTGAGCGTCTGCGTGCCCCGTCGCCCCCGCCCCGCTCAGAGCCCCAGTCAGAGGAGTCGGTGTCAATCGCCAGGCAACCATCCGACATACCACGACACAGAACAAAGGTCAGCCACACAGACATCCCCATGTTCACAAGGAGAGCAGCTGACCCTTGTGTGGTCTGTCTGTCTGTCTGTCAGGTGGTCATCGAGGCGCCGAGCATCGAGAGCGAGTACATCAACGAGTTCATGCCCACAGGTACGTACATGCGAACAGCCAGCCACACACACACATACCCACCTGTGTTTGTTATATGTGTCTTACGTCTGATATAATATCTATGTGTGCAGAGACCGAGATGTCCAAGCATTTCGATTTCCACAAGGTGCAGGCGATGGTGGTGAAGCGGCTGTCGTCGGACAGACGGTCAACCCGAGGCGAGCCACTTGGGTCCCCCTTCCCCTTCATCCGCCAGTCGGAGTCCGAGTGGGATGATCACCATTTCAACCCAGACGACCCGGCTCCACAGACGCCCACCAGCAGGGAGCGTCTGGACAGTCTGTCCATGCTCAGCTCGGGATCTGCCGGCGGCTGATGCATGTGGGATCATAGGTGCTGGTCGTGGTGGTGAAAATGTCTCGCGTGCGTGTGGATCAAGTGCTTTTTTCCCTGTAACGGGACACACGGGTGCGTTCATGTGTGTGGGGCGGTGTTTCTTCTGTGTAGTCGGTAGGCGGGCTTGCTTGGGTGTAATGTGGTGCGGTGATGGTCGGCTGGGAGAGATCGGTTTTGACGCTAATTGGCGTACGTAGCCTGGGAATGAACGAAAGGATGATCATGTGTGAACGTCGGTAAGTAGGACTGGCATGTCTGTCTGTCGTCCGTGGAAGTGTCTCGGCTGCTCTGCGTCTTTTTCCTTGTCGATAAGGAGGGAACGATCGAATGAACGAATGAATGAATGAATGTGTATGTGTGTGTATGTATGGGTGTGTATGTTTATGTATGTGTGTGTACGTGTGTGTCTCAGCGTGATCGAGGTGTACGTCTGACCGGACGAGAGAGCACTCAACTCAACAGACAAACAAGCACTGTGTGTGTCTGTCCATCAATGGATTGATTGACTGATTTGACTCATTCATCCCGTGTCTGTCTGTCTGATCAGCAAGCATGGCGGCCACTCACCTGATCACCGTCCTCCTCTCGCTCATCGCCGCATCGTCATGCATCAAGTTTGCCTCGCATCACGACCACGGCGGGAGGCTCACTCACGACCACCACAGCTCCCTCTCTCTTCGCGAGACCGGCCTCTTGGCCGAGGCCGCCCTCAACAAACGGGCATTCGGGCAGCCTCCCTCCGAGACGATAACGCTCCATCGATTCCAACACGCTCATTCGCCGCACAAGCGCCGCCGTCGTGTGTGGTTTGACGATTTACTGGCCCGGCTTGAGAGCATGCGGGCGGGGACGGCCGACCCGAGCAGCGAGACATGGAAGCAGTCCAACCAGCAGCTCCTCAACTACCACAACGCACAAGTAACCAGACAGACAGAGACACACACACAACAGAGCTGATGTCTCCCTCCCTCCCTCCGTCTGTGTGTGTGTGTGATCACGCAGTACTTTGGTGAGATTCGTGTGGGGACGCCCGGCCAGCGGTTCATCGTGGTCTTCGACACGGGCAGCTCCAACCTGTAAGCTTGATGGCGGATGATGAGATCATCAGATAAATGAGTCCCATTGCAATCAATTGGCTGTAGTGCGCATCAGGTGGGTCCCCTCAGCCAACTGCAAAGAGGGCGGATGCACCAACCACACCAAATTCGTACGTGCGCATCTGCCGACACACACAAGCAAACACACCAGACCCAGCCACTCACCTCATGAGCGTCTGTGTGTCTGTGGCCGACAGGACAGCAGTCGATCGTCTTCCTTCTCTGAGCTGAGTGGCGGGAGGGAGTCTGAGATGTACATCCAATACGGCACGGGCAGCTGCGTCCTCCACCTCGCCACCGACCACGTCCAAGTCGGATCGCTACTCGTTCCCAACCAATCGGTCAGTCAGGACTCACACACAGAAATGACAGCCCACCACTCATACGCGTCTCTTTGTCTGTGTCTGTGCACATCAACAATCAGATCGGTCTGGCGGTTGCTGAGAGTCGCGAGCCGTTCGCTTCGATGCCCTTTGACGGCCTGGTGGGTCTGGGCTTTCCTGACAGCGACCGCAACAACCGCCGCAGAGAGACACTGCCGATCGTCGACAACATGAGGCGACACAGAGTGCTCAAGAGGAATCTGTTCGGTGTCTACTTCAGCAAAGACCTCGACAAAGCGGGCGCCATTTCCTTTGGCAGCGCCGACCGCCGCTTTGTCGACGCCACCAAACGACCCTCATGGCACCCCGTCATCAACACAGACGTACACACACACACACACACACACACAGAGAGAGACATGGTGGCTGTGTGGCTGTGTGTGTGCAGTACTGGGAGATCGGGATGCACAAGTTCCTCTTCGGCGGCCGGGAGGTCGAGGTGTGCGGCCCAACGGCCGTGTGCAAAGTGGCCGTCGACACGGGCTCTTCGCTCATCACCGGACCGTTCGACTTCGTATTGGGCCTCGTCAGCCAGCTCCAACTGAGAACAGACTGCTCCAACTTCGACACGTACACACACACACACACACACACGAAGGGCTGTCCATCCATCCATCTGTGTGTCTGGTGTGGATGTGTTGCAGTTTGCCGCGGCTGACGTTTGTTCTGAAGGACGTCAAAGGTCATAACACACACACACGGGCACACACACGACACACTCATGTGTGTCTGCCTGTGTCTCTGTGTGTGTGCAGGCGACCCTCGGTGGGAACCATCCATCAGTCCATCGATGTGTGTGGGTCAATGTGTGTGTGTATGCGACGCAGTGAGTTCCATCTCGACCCGGAGGACTACGTCATCGAAGGTCAGCCAGCACACCAGCCAGCACACCAGCCAGCACACCAGTCAACACACAGCCCACTCAGGTGTCTGTCTCCTCGTTGGCTGGTCGGTTGACAGAGTATGACGAGGAGAGCGGCGAGCGTCGGTGTGCGCCCGGCTTCATGCCCATGGACATCCCCGCGCCGAGAGGACCGCTCTTCATCTTCGGAGACACATTCATCAGACGGTCTGAGGGCCCCACCTCAGCTGTCTGTCACACGAGACCCGCCTGGCGTCACATATTTGTGTGTGTGGGTGTGGGTGTGTAGGTATTACTCTGTGTTCGACCGGGACCACATGGCCGTCGCCTTCATCCCAGCCAACCACAACCAATCAGGTCGACCACACACACAGAGAGACACACACAGAGAGACAGAGACCCCATCCGTCTGTGTGTGTGGTTGCTGGATGATCTAGTTCCGTTGTCTGGCGGGTCGGCCTTCTCTGGGGCGTCGAGTGGTCGGCTGGGCGTCACCATTGTGCTGGCCGTGTCGGCCGTGGCGCTCGCCGTGGCGCTGGTGCTGGCGACTGTGTACATGTACAAAGACAGCATGCTCTTCGCTGCCAGATAGATAAACACACACACAGACGAACAGACAGATGTGAGACCGGCGCACACACAATGCATTGTATCAGACTGATGCATGTGTGAGTCTTCACGCTCTCATGAAAGAAACAACAGACTTGTGTCTTAGCCCCTGTCAGCCGTCTGCAGCAGGTGGACAACGGCCTGCGCTTCAGTCTGACTGGACCAATGCGCAGTGCGTTGCCCGATCGCATCTAACAGCTGACAGGGTACATGAAGGACATGAGCCGGTCCCACAGTATACACACACAAGTCCGTTTTACTCGCAAACCGCTCCCACGACCGTCTCAAACACAGACAGCGGCGGCCAGTGCGGCCACATCCTCATCCCTCACTGTCTGTGCCCGCCGCAGCCACGCCATCACCACCACCAACGCGTAACGCACCACACCACACACACCATCATCACGGAATACACTCCGCCCCCAGCCAGCGTTGTTCAGGCAGATCGCCAGAAGCACCACCGCCAACAAGGACTCCTGCACCTGACCACACACACACACACATCGATGAGGATGTCTGACGTGTGGGGGGTGGGGTGTGTGTCATATACCCTGGTGTCGACAGTGAGGAAGAGGCCCCGCAGCGGTCCAGAGAAGTGCCGCCCGGGCTTCTTGGCGGCACGCAGCACGGCCGCACATGCGGCGAACAGGTCGGCAGCCACATACAGACCGCCGTCACTGGCAGTCTGACCACAAGACGCACGGACGCATCCCCTTGTTGTTTGTTCTTGTTGCGTGCGTTGCACTCTGCACTCACCCTGAGGTTGTGTATGGTAGCTGTGACGGCCTCTCTGTGCGATGCCCCCGGAGGGCAGCACTTCCATCCCAGCAGCAGCTGCTCGATCCGCATCTCGTAGATGTGCACTGCCGACGAGCGGGTGTCCTTCAGACCAAACACAAACATCCGGCCCATACCCCACGACACACCCGTCCTGAAGACGCCAACAGACAACAGACAACAGACAACAGACAGACAACAGGCGAGCACCGTTTTCTGGTTCTTGTGGCGCTTGTCATGATTGTGTGGTTACGTGCGTGCGCCAGGGGGCCGTTTGTTTGGCGGCATGTCGGTGGTGCTGCCGGTGGGGAGCGATGCCGCCATGGGTCTCGCCCGGGGGCTCCTGGTGCTGGCCGTGTGGGCGCTGTCAGACGGACAGGCAGCGCTCGCCGCACGCAGAGTCCGCAGTGACGACTCAACCCACTCCTGATTTGAGAAAAACCGAACAACTCCGTCATGGGTGCTGTTTGTCCTGATGAGTGTGGTGTGTACCTGGGTGAGGTCGTCTACGTGAACGGTCGATGGCACCAGCTCCAGCAGCTTGGCGTATTGTGCGCCATAGAGTGGCGGCCACATGTCGGCGTGGATGGCGAAAGACCCGCTTCCTGCATCGAGAGAGGGGCAGAGTTCGTACACCAGACTCTGCTGCAGGGCCTGGTCGAAGACCCGCAGGCAGGCACCGTCGTCATCCACTCGTTCGGCAGAGGGCACCTGTTGCCACAGACACACAGGGTGGGTGGGTGCGTGGTGCGACAAATGACCGTTTTCCTGTCCACCTCATCGCACTCACCACAGCTGCGTCAGCTGTGTGCTCCTCCATGGATGCAACGAGTGACTGCAGCCGCTGCAGCAACCCCCGGAGCTCGGCACTCCGATTCGCCTCACGTCGCACTTCATCTGAACACCAATTCAACAGACACAAATCGGTAGGTAAGTGAACACCCAATAAGATCAGTCGCTGGCCTGGTGTGCGTTACCTACCTTTGCCGCGCTGCCCATCTGCCGCCGCGACTCCATCGCTCCTTGTCGCTTCCATGTGCCATGTGGCCACCGTCTCGTCCCCACACGCAACCATCACGCGACCAGCCGACACGCACATGCGTGTGGCCTCCAGAGGCAAGTTGGTCTGGCCGAAGGGGTGGTGCATCTCATGTGTGCGTGGGTCGATGACGTACGCACGTGCGACGGGGACGGCCTTGCCGGAGGAGGCCGGTTCTTCGGAGATGCCGCACACAAGCAGGCAGCCGTGGTGGTCGGGGTGCTTGTCTGCACACATTAGGGGCTTCGTCAGGGCCTGAAGGCGGCAGAGGCGAGAGACAGACAAAGAGAGAGAGGTATGCAGACATGGCTGGCAGGAGAGATGCGTGCATGGCTGAGATTGTTACCGTACCGTCTCCACGAGTGTGGCGCATGTGCTGTCGGCCGTCCCCCATCTCTGTATGACCGTCGCTGGCGCATCCCGCCGCCACCCACAAGTCACAAGCGACCCTGACCTGAAGTAGTGAGGCAACCATCAACCACGAGGGACGACGCTCTTCTAGCTTCTGATGACTTTCGCCCTTGTAAGCTTACCCCGTCCACTCGATCCCCTGTATGGGGAATGGAGCCGCCAGGCATCTGACGGGTGCACGGGGCGAGCGGATGTCGAGGACATGGATCATGTTGAACGAGGCCTGCGCCAGCAGGTGGAACTCGTCGGGACACCACCTGTCCATCATCAACCAGAGAAGAGACCACAAGTCAATAATAGAGGCATTTTTCAAAGTGGAAGGCCATTCCCGTCTGTCGTCGAAATCACCTGAGCGTGGTAGCGTGCTGCGGGATGGTTCCTGCGGACATGATGGGCCGATTCCCCAGCACGACCGTCGGGGAGCACACAGATGCATCGACCCCCTCGTCACGCCACCTGTCGACGGACGCACACGCACGCATTCATAAGCCGCTTGAGAAGGCAAACGGCCAAGCAATCAGCTGGCTGTCACCTACCGTGCAGGCCGTCTGACATCCCAGATGCAGATGGCCCCGTCGGCAGGGCTGCTGCCGCATAGCAGCGCCGGCACACGCGGGCACCATTCACAACCTGATTGACACCAGCAAGCCACGGGCATCGCTCGTTTGTTCATGTACGTGTCACATCGCACGTAACGTACACACATACAGTAAGTACTTGGCTGGCTGGGTGTGCCAGGGTGGATGACATTCCTCGCAGCCGAGCCCCTGAATGTGGGCTCCTTGCCCCCCTGACCCGGGTCGTACACGTGCATGTGTGTGGAGTGTAAGGATGCCGTGCAGCACGCCAGCTGACACCCCCGACTCATGTCAATGGATCCCATGCCGTCGGCTCCATCCACCTTCAACAAGACAACAAACACAAGACAAGCACCATGGATACGGTGACACACTGTCCGGTGCGGGAGAGCACTGACCTCTGCAACAAATCGCCGATATGCGACAGATCTCTCAGCGCTTTGGAAGTCGAGCAGCAGCACATCGCGGCTGTCGGCGGCCTCGGCAGTGCGCTGCTTCTTCCGACTCAACAGACAGGCGCCGTGACGGCCATCTGTACGTGAATGCAGTGAATGCAGTGCATCAAGTGCAATTGTCGTGTGCTTGCCTCTGGCTGGCTAGCTGACTGACCTTGTGTGAGAGCAATTGCCTCGTGTGCCCGCGGCAGACGAAGAGAGGTGCCAGTCGCCATGGTCCTGACGTGCATGAACAGAGATCAATGAATCAATGTACAGGAGTGAGTCTTTTGATGCCCACACCCGCGCTGCGCTGGCACCGCTTCCGATTCTGACAGGCAGGGTTTAGGGCTACCTTGAAACCGCTCTCTCCTGCTCTCTTTCACCCAGTAGTTCATTTCCCCAGGCTTTTCCCCACCGACCGAAACCCCATCCCACTCTACCAGGTGTGCGCCATTGTCGCTCTCTACATCAGGTGTGCGCCATTGTCGCTCTCTACATCAGGTGTGTGCCATTGTCGCTCTCACTCGTCTCACTCGGGCCGCCCTCGCTCCGCTCGGGCTCTTCCCACTGCCGCTTTCGGCAAAATGACCCGGTGTGGGACCTGAACCCATACCAT